TGAAGGTTACTTGGGTTTTGCAGAACTAGAAAATCACAGAGTGTTATCTCATAAAATCAAATCTATCTATCTATCCAAGCCTTTTATGAAAGGCTAGAGACTGTGGATATTGATGTTTTTGATAGATGAAATGCTCCCAAACCAGCTCATTCCAAAATGACTCCTCAGACTGAGACTTTATATAAACAAGAGGTTCCCCCAGGGTTTAGACTTTCAAGTGGGTGATTAACTGACAAAGCTAAAAAATCCAATTTCTTGATACAAAAGAGCTATAAGTTTCAAATTAATGAAGCAATCATTCCCTTAGATGATTTTTAACATTGCACCAGGTTTTCAACAAGAAACACTCTGATAAATCTTGTGACACCTTTTCCACTACTCATTTGAGCATATCCACTACATTATGTTTTTTATGGACTTGAGTGAATACCAGTGTGCCCCTGTTTGAAGAACTAAAAGGTATTGTTGGAGAGGGCCCTACTCAAAAATATGAATTTATTTTTATCTCATTGGTGTTCCTCAAATTCTTCTTCTTCTATCTTTATTTTTACCCAAATTAGCTACAAAATGTTTACAGGATGCCTGGATACCCAGTTGCATGATAATATCCCCAGTGAGATTGGACATGTAAAAAGGTGGCTTTGGTTTGGTTTTTTTTTGGTTGTTTTGGTTGGTCATGGGGTTTTTGGGGTGTGATCTTATGGAAATGAAAAAGTTATTCTGTGCTATTATAATTGGCCAGTAAATTGTCCAAGTGTTGTTTATTAAGGACTCATTGAAGAATACTTTGTACAATAACTTTTTGTGCACAAAAATTTAAATGGGCAACAAAAATGCATAGAGCCAAAAAGTTTCAAATTAAAATGGATTGCATTGCCTAAATTCACTTCGTTCAAAAAGAAAACATATAGATATATATATAGATATAAAACATATAAATATATATATATATAACTTTTAAATGGAGTGTAAATTAACTATATAGTTATATATAAAGATATCACTAGAGAGAAGGATTATAAGAAAACACTGAAACATCACTGTCCTTAAGGTTAAGGATGGAGAAAGGGACACAAAATTGCCAATGTTGTGTTAAAATATGCCTGTGTAATTTCAAAGATCTTAGCTAAAAGAAATACATATTAATGTAGACAAACATAATTGTTGACTTTTATATTATGTAAACACTTCTTGAAAAGGTAAAGCAGTGCCTAGGTGTTGTTTTCTAATCAAGAGTGTGGTTTTTAATTTATTTTTTTCCAACGTATTTCAGTTTGCCCCTACCTTTCTCTCTGACTTGTTTTGAAAGAAAAGGTTTTCTACTCTCAAGGCCAGAAAAATAGTTTTGCTCTATTTATCATTTCTTTGTTTAGCTACTTGAAAAGTACCACAATATAAAACATGAATAATTGTGGAACTTCACACTGATGTTTTATACCTTCATTTCAATCCATTTCATTCTGACTGGAAAAGAATACCAAATTTTGTTGGTTCTGTGTCAGATTTTGAGGCTAACATGAAGACAGTCAACAAACTCAGATTTCTATACTAAAAAGCAGTTCCTTTTTCTAAGGCTTTCACTGCAGGAACAAATGGAAGGTACTGTTTGTTCCAGTTCAAATAGGAATTTACAGTGTTGTGGCAACTTATTAAAAGCCTAATTTCTGCAATGTTTAGAGACGTATGCAATAAAGAAAAATGTGCAATATTAGGAGTGTACATATTTGCCAGGTGTTTTAGCATGTCAGACCTAAGTATCCCTTTCAAAATGTTGGGAAAGAGCAAGAACCTCTGTCTGGGTCTGCACCTGTAGAAGGGTTTCAGTAGGATAAACTGTGCTGAATTCACACTTGTCTGTGCCTTGTGACAGAGAAGGAAAGGTGTTTCAGGGTTTCAGATTTGGACAATGAAGGTACTAAGGCAATTATGAAAGAATACCCAATGTGCTCTAAAGTTAAGATTCCTTTCCCCTTTTTTTGTGTAGTTTTTTGGGGGGTTTTTGTTTGTTTGTTTTTTGTTTGTTTGTTTGTTTGTTTTTCGTTTTTTTTCCCATCTGATAATCTCATAAGGTGTCAAATTCTAACAAATACAGAAAAAATGGGAGAGACAGGCCTGCTGAGTTCTAGGTTGTCATAACTTACAACAAGGTTATAATAGGAAGGAGTGCTACTTACCATGTCCTGCAATATTAATTGCCACTTCTAGGAGATCAGTGAAAGACAGATAAAACAAATACCATTTTTCATGGCAGGTAGGGAGGTTCCAGAATTAGTTGCTACAGGAGCTATAGTTGATGGACATCATAAGCAGATTCCAAAAGATATTAGACATTCATAGGAACAGGCCTAAATAATAAGTGGATACAAAAGAGAGCAAAAGATGTGGCCTGCAGCACCCCTGACAGGATGATTGCTGTTGCTGGCAGAGTGCAGGAGGAATGGACAGCACAAAATGGATGTACTCCCATGCTTCCCTTAAACAGCCATCCTGCTGCTGCTGACCACGGCAGTGTGATGCCCTGGGTGCACGGGCATGTCTCATGTTCTTAGCTCACTTCTGCCCAGCCAGTGAATTGTGTGGACCAAGTGTCTCAAAGCTTCCCAGCAGTGCAAGCAGAATTTAATTCCGTGGCTGTGACAGAATTGCTGCTTAGGCAGTGGTGAGGTGGAGGGAGAGCTGTGCCCGGCCACCACGATGTGTTGGCTCTGGGCCTGCTGCCCAGGGATTGCTCTGCTGCTGCCACAAATACAGCACAGGGTGGCTGAATATTCACTCTGGATTAGCAGCTTCCCCAACACCCAGAGAATGCAGATCCGCCTCTCTCTAAGCCCTGGATTTTCTGCCACACATTATTTTGCAACCACAGCTAAGTGCTGTGTATAAGACCAGAGTTGGTGTATTACAATGTGACAGAGCTCCCTGAATAATTTATATCTACAGCTCCATTTCATACTTATTTGTTATCCTATAGGTCTTCCCCTAGGATATGCCATCTAGTTTCAATTTAAAACCTAAGTTCCATAAATTACCGCTGCACAGAAGTTGCTTTAACACGCCATTTATGCAGGTAATGGTGCACATTGTAGCTGAAGTGGTTCAGAGTCCCCACTCCTGGGATTGCAGATCCACAGTAAGCTGGTAAATGGGAAACAATGCGGAGTTGGCCGGAAAATTGAACAAATCCACCTAAAAATATCACAGCAAATCACACCTTAATGCTGGGAACTCTGTAGGGCAATGTTTCTACACCAGCATGGACATCTGGATTCCCTGCTTGCATTAAACTGAAAGAAAGTGTGCACAGTGTGTATCACGTGTGCATGGATACCACTTCATAAAAATGAGATTAGGAAGAGGATTAAGACATATTTATGTTAAGGCATAAATAAGGCACATCACCCTATCAGCTCTTAATCCTTGCTTTCATTCTCTGAGCATATGATTTTCTGGAAAAAAATCAAAACTTTGGAGTACAGCCAAGTACTATGTTCGACAACACTTTAACAGGGTGTCATCCAAAATATTACTAAAATGAGTGTAAATTTATTATATTTCAGAATAAATATTTTTCTTTAAAGACTAATTTGAATTTTATAGAAGTAAGTGCATTTCAGAAAATTCCCCTCTGTTTATATGTGTTGCCTAACTCAAAAGAAAATCATATCATTACAGCCATTAGAACTATTTTTCTTTTTATGAGGCCACATTTTGGCTAAATGAAGTATTTAGGTTTAATTCTTTTTCTTAGCACTTATTATATCTATTAGGCCTTAAACACCTGCTTTAAATTAGTGAAATTAAGTGTTTCTGGAGTGCAACTAGTGACTAACCTGGCAACTGCTAATTTTATAACAGTGTATTATATTTTGGTTTATTATTGAGTCACACAATTGGCATGTTTGGATAGAGATTGATATGTGGCTTAGGCTGCACAAAGCTACAAGCAAGGTAGCAAAGAATCCCCAGGCTGTGAATATCCTGCTGAAGTGACTGGTGTAAAAGGGCCTGAGATGCTCTGTCTGCTCCTTACATAGACAAGATTCAGTAAACCAACCTTTCATTCCCAGTTTCAGTCCTGTCTCGGTGATTTCCCTCATGTAAATTTGAAAGTATACCTTGTTACATGCAAGTGAAGGCTGCATGTCAGTAATAAATACATCCTGCTGGCTGCTGGGCAGATCTCATGGGCTGTGGAGCTTCTTGAGAGTCTCTAGGAAGGAGTTAGGTATGCCTTGCCAGAGGGAAGATGTCTGCGAACCTTCAGGACTGTCAGTTCCCTTCTTTGTGGTGCCCTTACCTTGCCTAGGGGTTCATCACTGCCAGGGCATTGCCTTTGGCCTGTTTGATGTGAGTGCATCAGGCAAAAGAGGAAAGGCTTCACAAGAGAAGAAAATCCAGGATTTCAAGTTAAATCTTACGTTGCTCATGATAACATGTGAAACAAGGAATTATTTAAGGGAAGGATGAAGAAAAGGTGGGAAAAGGGATGGGATGTGACACAATGCAGCAAAAGAAACAAGTTTAGGTTGTGTGCAATACATGCCATTTTGGGACTGATATGCCTGGTTCAGGAAAAATACTCAGTGCGTTCAAGTTCACTCGTGAATATGAATGGCCTAAGTAATTTAAGAATCCATTTGCAAACCACTTACACCCACATCATCCTATTTGCACTTACCTTGCCAAGCACCTGCGGGCCCTGAAACCTCACAAGAACTATTTTTTTAACTTAGGAAAGATCTTGGCCTGTTGCAGTACCATTCTGCTTCCTTTTTTATTTATCTTCTTTCTTATTTCTCTGCTGGTTCTTTCACTTTCTTTAGCAGTTCACATCCAGGATGGTAAGGTTGTAACAGTGATGGTTCATTAGATCCAGTAATTCAAATATTCTTGGGGTGGTAGGTGACTGTTCATAAGCTGCTGATGGTGTTATTTCTGATGTACATGTCGCATACACTTGTTTCATGTGTCTAAATAAATGCCACACTTTGATCCAACAGGCCAGAACCAGTACTGTGGACAAAGGACGGTGGAGAACTACCAGATCCAGAGAGAATGGTTGTCAATGGCAGGGTTCTAAGCATCAGCTTCCTAAACAAAACAGACAATGGCACATATCGATGTGAAGCAAAAAATCCCATTGGCCGAAACAGCACAGAATATGTCCTGATAGTACATGGTGAGTGTGCTCTCCTTAGTGCATTCTCTGCATATTTGGCATTTCCAGCTGGTACAATCAGGTTGTTGTGGTCATCATGGAAAGAAGAGCAAGAAAATTTGGAAGTGTAATTGCACTTTTATTGGTGCTATCGTCTAGCTGTGGGGAGTGTGTTGTCTTTCTTTTATTGGCATGCCTCTTTTCTCACAGTTTAACCAAAATATATTCACTTCTGCTGTCAACTTTTTGCTAAGTAAGCACCTGTAAAAATGTTTTGCAGTGTGTGGGTACTGTTTCATAAATACTTGCCTCAAGCCCAGCTGTTCAGCTAAAGCTGGTTACAAAAGGTTATATGAAGAGAAATAACAGACAGACGTGTGCTTGAGGTTTTCTGCTTAGCTTTTTATAGACCACCAAACAGGAAGGACATTGGATACTTCACACAAGTTACAGCCTGCTATTGAGAAAATTCAGCTCATACAAGTTAGCTGATATCACCTGACCCATCACTACAGTCAGACCTCAAAACTGTGTTATGTCCTAAATGTGTTATACTACTTCCAATAAAATGGAAAAATAGGAAAGTTCACATTAAATTACAATTGGTCTTTTTTTTCCCCTAATAAATTAAGAAACAATATGTGTCATGTGAAAAAACTAGCTGCCTTCCACATCGATAATGAAATAGATTGATATAACTCAGCTGAAGGGAAAACTATTATATAAAATTAGCATTTGTCTTTAATACAGCCTGGCAATTCGGATCTAGGAGTCTCAAAACAAGATGTTCTCTTACCACAGGTAATTTCTGGAAGGTTATGATTTCCATAATTTGAATTTTAATATAAGAGAATATAGAGGCAGAACCTCCACTTTAGCTCATGATGGTACTTTATTCCCTCTATTTTTTTAAGTGCAATTTCTTATAACTATGCCAAAATAACATGAAAAAATCTAATGCAAATTTCAGTCTTTAAATAGACAAGGGAATTATGTAGATTTTATTAGCTCATGATGAACTCAGTTACAGCTAGTATACATTTCCTTGGTGGTTGTAAGGTATCAGAAATCTTTTTCATATAGGTTTACTTGCCTCTAGGTATTTGGCACAAAACTTCTATTAAGTGCTGCCTTCAATAATGAGATATTTATTGGCACTGTTGATGAAACATCATTTATCAAAAGAAACACTTAGATTACTTCTCATTTTTCTTAAAGTTCATCATTAGTTTATGTAGGATTAGTGACACAAATAAGGAGGAGATCTTTGCATGAGGAACACAGAGCCTGTACTGCTACGTGAGTATTTCTGTGTTAAAGACAAACAGAAAAACTAAACCCTCTAACCTCTATTTACATTGTCTGCTACAAGAAGAGGAAAAGAAAAAATGTCTTTTGCATCCCAGAGGCAGTGGTGTGGTGGTTGTTGGCTGCAGGCACAAAGTGCTCTGCCTTTGATGAGGTAACAGCTTCTGCACTTACCATGTGTTGAAACTTCTGTCATTTGTGTTTTCTGCCCAATTTATTTATGTCATTATTTCTGAAAATATGGCCTTTTATAATGGGGATCTTTTTCCATCAGTGGTGGCTCTGCAATAGAACTCTATCAAAGAATATTTCACTGTTCCCAGTCTTGCACAGTGGTGTGTCCCCTGGTGATCTGATTATCTTGCATCAACTTCCTGGCAGTCTGTAAAATCATTCATTATCAGGGAGGCATTCTGTTATGTTTGGCGGCACATTAGGCATGTTATCAGGTTTAGCTTGCTCATTGCTGACCTTTTCTGTTATGAGTACCCGAGTTTTCCTAATTGCATTTCTGCAATTCCAGCGCTAGAACTACAGAAGGTAAATGTCAGGTGCTTCCCAGCTTTCTGAAACAATCAGAGTTATGTGACAGAGCATGAGATGATGTTTAGTACTTAACAACTTACTGGGGTTCAGAGTTGTAAGGTTAATTTTAAGTAAAAAGGAGACTGACACAATTATTTTATCAAGTGTAGCACAATCCGTTGTATAGATAAATTTAAGCAGCCTTACCCCTACTTTAGCTCATTACATTCATGAATGTCTCTAGTGAACCATAATCCTCCTAAAATTCTACAATATTTTTCTTCTCTCTCTCTGGGGGCTAGAAAACCTACTTTTTATCATTTTCTGAGATGCATCCTTCTGTTTAATAGAGGATGTATTTTTTATCTTCCTAAATATATCTGGAAGCATCCTTTGATTTCTCATTCCTTCCCCTGTGCTTAACATCTTGACGTAATTTTTTGTCCTACTCCTTTGTTAGAGCTCATTAATCATACGACTTCTTACCTTAAATATCTGGTTTCTAAGACAAGGTACATGCCAGATTTCCCAAATGAGCTTGTGTGAGGAAACAGGGAACATCAGTGGAAGTTATCCTCTGCAGAGGCAGGGAAGGGCAACATGATTCACAGCTTTCATTTTCTTATATGTACTGTGATTTCCATACATTTTATTCCTTTTTTTCCACTTCAACAGATTTTTATCTCTTTCTGTGTGTTAATGGTGTATGAGCTTCATCTGGCTTCTCTCCTTTATTTTTGTCTCCCCGTAAGAAATCCCCCTTTCAGTGATACTCAATCTACTAATTCTCTCGCTTTTTTAAGTTATCTTCCTAACTCAGGAAGATTTAGGCAGCTTTAGAGTAGGGAGAATATCAACCAAAAATGGAAAACATAGTTTATCATAATTAGAGATTAGGTGTAAGCAAAGTATTTACACATATTAATTATACATTCCAAGCAAAGAGTGTCTCGTGTGTTTAACTGGACCCATCTAAACACAAAATTATACAGAAGAGTATACAGAATTTCCATTGTGATGATGAGTGGTGATGATGAGGGAATACTGTTTTGATGTTAACTGATGGAGAGAAAATAAATATTGCTGTAAGCAGATGAATGGAAATGTGTCCAACGCAATTAGTATCTGACAACATAAAAATTATTTTTAGATTTTTTTTTTGTATAATTAAAGAAACCAGACTTCAGAGAAATTGAATCTATTTGAATAAGGTTAAAAGCTTGGGCTATTAAATATGCTCATGCTGCTTTGCTGAATCAATGTGACTGCTAATTTCCTTTTTCTTAACATTTATTGTTAATAATAAATGTCAAAAAGTACTCTGTGAAGCAGGAAGGTGGGTACAAAGTCAGAGTTTATAGGCAGAAGCACAAAGGCAAGACATGTAGTTTGCTCAAGCATTTGTTTCATGCAGTAACAAAGGCAAAGGCTTTAATGCCTGTAGCTGTTGTCATTTCTGTATTCTAATTGGCAAGCTTAGTGCTTTAGAAGTGCACATTCTGGCTAGATATATTACACCCTTTCTTTGGTAATGGGCCCCAGGCAATTTTCACTCTCTTCCAATTTATTAAGAATTTTTGTTTACCTTTGTCCAAATACTAGTCATTAATCACCAGCAAACAGAGCAAACTGTCAAACTCGTGTTGCTCAACCCAAAAACATAGACTCTGCTTGCAGAGCTCCAGTAATAACTGCAGTGATTTAGCTGGAGTGGAGGAAGGAGGTGTTCCATCATAATCAACCTGAGGACAGAGCTGCTGTGCTTGGAGGAGTAGTTCAGAACCTCTGGGTGCCACTGCCAGAGACTCAGATCAGCACTGCCTTGGAGTGAGTGACAGAAGTCCACATCACTGAGAAACCTCCTTAGTGCAAACAGCAGCAGTTGATCATTTGCAGCCCTATTTGAAACAGAGCACCTTGGTGAAATGTCCTGATATGCCAATCTAGAGACAGATGTTGAATTAATTGAAATATTCAGAACTATAATGTGTTTTGCAGCAATTATATGGAAGAGCAGTGTGGAAATAAACGTGAATCAGCAGCTGTGGGTGGTCAAGGCAGTTCTTGCTGCCCAAATTTTAGCTAGGAAAGCATTTGAGTCAGCAACTTAAGATCTCTGAGGAATAAAATGTGGCATGACATATTCCTTTGTCTTCAGCCTCTCAATTTTGTATTTTTTTCCTTGGGCAAGCGTTTTTTTGCAAATAAAGGCAACTGAAAGACCGAGTCACAACCTCATTAGATCTCTACGATGTGTAAGTCCAGAAGTCCCACTGCACCTTTCCTAACTATAGCACTATTTATATTCCACCTGCTTGTCCAGTCCCATTTCAAAACATTTGTTATCTTAGCTTCCACAGTAACCTGTTCAACAGATTCTAAATTTAGTTATGTGCTTTGAGAGAAAAGTATTCTCTTTTGTTTGTTTAAACCTGTTGCTTGATCTCTTCACTTTCCAACCTTATAAGCTATTTGGCCTCTTTGCTGTTTGTGCTGGAAGTTTGGATTTAAAATTTGCTGCTTCCCTTCAATAGATTCTCAAGTATTTCTGCACTGGTCTCTACTTCTCATTAATTGTGATCTTAAACTTAGTATTTCCTGGAATTCCCTCCCATATTTCCATTCTCCTTCTTTCATGGTCTTTTTTTGGTCTAGTTCTAAGTCTCTCACTGACTGTTCTCCATATCTGGAACATCGCTATGCCAAATCTGCAGCAGACACCTTAGTTTATTAAATCCTATCTCTAAATATATTTATGGAGATTCACTTTCCATGCCCAACAATAATTCCAGCACCATGCACTTGTACATCTGTACAAGTTTGGGGTTTTTTTTTTAAATTGGTGGAAACTCTGTGGAATCCAAAACACATGAGGTTTAACAAACTCTTTCTACCTCTATCTGTTATAGATTATTTTGTCTTTGTCAGTTCATTTTCCAGCAATCAGATTTTTTATTCTGTTTCATTTCTGTTTTGATGTCCTCACAGGAGGCCTCCTCTTTCCTTTATTTCTTGAACTCACTTGTGCATATCTCTCTGTAAAGGTAGAAACTGAATAGAGCAGAAAATTGAAAAAACCTGAGGAGGTGAGGATATATTCTGCTTTCTTTCAAAATTAAGCTTAATGAATAGGCAATAGATCTTTCAGTTTGCAAATATTTTCACTACAGACCTCTGGTAAATCTTGA